GCCCCTTCCTCACTTGTTATTTCTCTCTCAGACAAATAAAACTTTTTAAAAATGGATGGAAACTGGACTGCTCCCCTCTGTAGCATATACTCTGGGTTTGATCTCAGTGGCATCTGTGCAACGACTGTGCGTCAGTTTATTGGGTGTGACATGGTCCCCGTCCATCTTCCAGTGCAGATCGCTCCGAGCTAGAGAGGAAGTAGGTTTCCTAACACCATCTGGCACCCATGTGCACCACAGACAGTAGAGTGAGCCACTGGAGGCTGTGAGTCACATGTCTGCCGCCATGTGGTCATCCTACCAGGTGCCTGGGCAGCAGAACTTGGGCTTTTCCAGGGAAAGAAGGTGCACGGAGGCTGCTGCTTTTAAGTTTCACAGGACAGGCCCAGGGGAAGCAGGTGCACCCATGCCCAAAGGGAGCAATGGTGTCTCCATTTGTCCTCTGTGCCTTGCAAACAGAAAATCACTCCAGACATCTCAATTTGCCAGAGTCTGGGCAGGAAGCAGGCCTATTTGTATGGTTCCTGTTCTTGAAGGGGAAAGGCAAGACCCCAGCACTTGTCTCACCCAGACTCAAAGTTCCAGAAACCAAGGCTCAGTGGCAGGAAGGCCATCAAGACTCCTGCACAAACCACACAGAACTGGCAGGGGGTGGGGGACTGAAAAGCGAAGCTGCCCTGAGATGCAGAAAAGCTGGAATTGTGCAAGTCTGCTAGTCCTGGCCAGTCCAGGGCTGACCAGGACTGCTGCAGAGGAGGGGCTCCTCCCAGTGGAAGTGGGAAAAACCCAGCTCTCCTTTATCACGAACACTACTCAGACGGTGGGTGTGTGAGTGCTGGTTTCAGCCTGGAAAGACAGAAAACACCCAGCAAGCACCCGAAAGACAAGGCGTCGTATCTGATGGGGCCTAAGGAATGCAATGAGAACTGCTTGGAACTGGAAAAGGAAACAGGTCTTCTGTGCAACACTTTGTGGGCCGCTTCCTCTTCTCCAGGCTGCCTCTGTGGGAGGCCTGAGTGCTGTCTCCTCCTGGGGGGCTTGCCCAGGTGAGCCTGTGGCCACTGCCGGGCCATCCCCACGCAGGAGGTTATCGAGGTCTGCGCCTGACCATCATTTTGAGCTTCACGTCTTGGCATGAAAACTTGTCAGTATTCCATTTCCCCTTCAGGTTTTGTTCAAGGCTAGAGCTCTACGGTATCCAAATTAACACTAAAAAGCCACACAGGTGTGTGCTGGAGTTCTCCAAGATAAAGGTGAGGCTGGAATGCTCCGCTTCTCTCACAACAGGATTTATTGTAGGATCCGGAGGAATGTTTGCAGCTGTAAGGCTCTGCATTTACTGCTGGCACTTTGGGTTCTGACAGGCACATCTGACTTCCAATAGGACGGACTCTGGTCTCCTATTATCTTGGCATGTCACAAAGATATGGAAACCCAGCCACTTCTGTGGGGCCACCCTGCAGAGGACCGTCCAGCCTCAGATGGGTGCACTTGCACATCCCGCTCTGCACATCCTCATGAGGTAAGCTGTACACATCTCCACCAAACACGGAATGAACCACTTCCCCGATCCCTTTGCTCGTTTGGAAACCAAAATCCTCAGCAACGATGAGAACGAATACAAAGCATGTGCCAGGCTCTGCTAGGTGCTCACGTGAGTCAGGACACCCTCACCAGGACCCTGACAGCCAGAGGGCGCTGAGCACAGAGGTCACTGGCAGCAGATGCAAGTACTGAACCCAGAGCTGCAGTCTCAGGAGCCAGATGGCTGGAGAGGGCTTCTCCGGAGCATAAGGTCATCACGTCTGCCTCCATGGTCAGGAATCTGAAGATGCCAGCACGCCCGTGTTCTCCCCAAATACACGAAACCTTCATCTTGCCTTCTTTCTCTGTTTATCTTGAAGCCCTGATTTTCTGCTACAATCCCAGTGACAAGTGGCTCTTTTGCAGTCTTATTTCTGGCCCTATGTTCTGCTTTGCCTCGGCTTTTCTCAGGCCCAGAGTGAAAAGGGGCCTCAGGCCATGTCTTCGTTTGCTGCTCACATCCCCCTCTGAGCCAGCAAGATCACTTGCCCCTGACCTCGGAGCAGACCCCAACAGTCCATTAGTCAATCAACATTTGCTACCCTCTGGCCTGAGAAACCCTGTGCGAGAGGCAGGAAAGAGGCTGAATAGTCCGTGCACTGAGGTCTCAGCTATGGGAATGTAGGGGGCCGCAACCAAGACTTGGGGGTTCACAGAAGGCTCCCCAAAGGAGGTGGCCCCAGATGAGGCAGAAACGGGAAGAGAATGTGCCAAGATGAAGTCACAGCAACAGGATTAAGAGCAGTAACGCACCAAGTAAGGCTGTAGCACCAGTAACGCCATCAGGGTCCCGAGACACTGCCTGGGAGGCTGGTGCAGATGGGGGGCTGGGCTCACGTCTGAAAGGGGAAGGGAGTAAGTGTGAAAAGTGAATGATTAACAAGGACCCTTTGATTTGAACAGAAGGAACAGCCCAAGGCAAACTCGCGGAGGCAAAGCCGACTCTGACCTGGGGGCACCCAGGCTGGGAGTTCAGGGTTGGTAACGCTTTGGATCTGCCCTGTACTTGGCATCTGCGGCCAGTTTCGGCCGTGGCTCACTGCTACTGTGGACAAACCTCGCCGCTTCAGGGACCCTGACTCTGCCTCCCCCACGAACCCTTCCCATTCCTACTACCGAAGTCCTCTTTTTTTTTTTTTTAAGATTTTATTTTATTTATTTGACAGAGAGAGAAAGAGAGCACAAGTAAGCAGAGAGGCAGGCAGAGAGGGAGAAGCAGGCTCTCTGCTGAGCAGGGAGCCCGATGCGGGATTCGATCCCAGGACCCCAGGATCATGACCTGAGCCGAAGGCAGCCACTTAACCGACTGAGCCACCCAGGCGCCCCACTACCGAAGTCCTCTTTAAACGCAGTTCCACAAACTGAATGTCAGGCACACACCTGCAACCCTCCACCACCTCCCACCCTCGGCAGCTGCACCTGCCCCAGGCTCCTCTTAGGACACATGTGCTGCAACCACCAGACTTGCCCCTGGAGCTGCCGTGCTTAGTTCAAGAATTAATATTTAAACCCCAATCACAGGAATTTACACGGATCCCTGTTAAACTTCATTTGGCTGGTTTGGGTTCTTTATCTCAACCTATTGAAAGTGAGTTCTGTTTTGTCATATGACATATTGTTCCCAGGGCTACACTTTACATAATTCTGATAACCCTCCATTAAGAAATGAGCAAACCCTGGGACACAGGATTTCAGAACCAGGTCTCCACACCTCGACAAGTTGGTGCACAATGGAAGTAGGGCCTGGGGTGGCACAGGCTTTTCCCAAGCCTTTGGGATTATATGGGGCCTGCTTCTCCCTCTGCCTCTGCTCTTGCACTCTTGCTCTCCCTCTCTCAAATAAGTAAAATCTTTAAAAAAAGAAAAATGTGCAGAGTGCTGCATGCCAGTGGCTAACATGGACGCTGCTCATGTCTCTTTTTACCCCGTAAACCCGGTCCATACCGCACACGGCACCTGGCAGGAAATGCAGAGGTGATCACGTGGTCGCGCTCCCTGTCCCTCGAGAACACAACTGGTGCTGCAGCGTGAGGGCCTGTCTGAGGAGGACGCCGGCAGGATCGACCACGCCACAGGCTTCTCCTGACAGGAAGCTCTGTTCCTCCCGTCTCCACTCTAGCCCTCACCCCCCAACCCCTTGCTTATACTGTACTTACAGGAGACAAGCTGAGAGTATGGAGCACGGCTTCCCAGGTCTGAAAACACACCTTGTTCTGGCCATTTGCTGACTTTCAACAAACGGAGCCCCAAACACAAGCGGGAAGAGAAAGAACAAGCCAGCACCCCGGCCTCCCCCCAAGTCCCCAGTCCTGTGACGCAGTGATGGGCACACCCATGTTTGTGCGGCACAGTTCACGGCCTCACAATCCAGGAGCCTTGTCCCTGCTGCTCTGTGTTTGGGGTCTGGGCACCTCCTGCAGTGTGGACACAGACGTGGCCACCAAGAAGCAGGCTGCTCAGTGTTACAACGTCCTGTATTAGTCATGTTTCTTATGTTCTGTGTTTACCATGCTTTAACATCTTGGGGGCCTTGTTGGCCTGGGAGAGGCTACCCCTCCCAGGGCTAACTCCTAAAGACAGCAAACAGTTGCCCTGTGAGCTCACCTTTCATGAGCAAACCCACCAACCCAGAACCCACACTCAAACCGCTTCCTTTACCTGGTTCTTACGCACCAGCAAGCACTTCCTCTGCCCTGCGTCCCCCAGGGCCAGCACCCCCACAGCCCAGAGCCTACTGAAATTACACTACCCAGCCCATTCATTCCTGCAGAAACCGCACCTTCTCTGCCTCCTGACCAAGCCTGGTGCTTCCCTGAATGGCCCTGCACAGTGAGGCATGTCTCTGCCTCCCGGGAACCCTGTGAAGAGTGAACACTCCTTTCCACGCAGCCGTCTCAAGGTCACCTACCACACCTGATTAAAACCAACCACACGTATTCTCAGACAGGTGCAGCCCTCCTCTGGACGTTTCTTCTCTGGTCAGAAGAGGAGCGTTGTCAGCAAGTGCACTCCCAAGTGAAACGCTCCATATACCCACAGCTAGCTGTGCCTTCCAGGTCAGGTGGCATCATGCAAATGCCACCCAGACACCAACACACCCGGTGCTTCTGACCTGTGATGTGTCCCCTCAACGGGGGCCACTTTGCTGGCAAAGGCAGGACTTCACGGTGCCACCTGCCTGCACACAAGGTGCACGGTGGATGTGCCCGCACGGCTGGGGTGACGGCAATGCTTCCTTCCTGAGACTGTTTACAAAAGCGCAAGTCATGCGCCCCCAAAAAGCCAAGCCAGCAGCTTCCTTGCTCCGTCTCATGCGTGCCTGATCGTGTAAGCTCTGTGGCACCGTTTTCAGCATCAGGATACTGACAGTACTTGGGAGGGGAGGTGCCCCACACCCAGAAGCATGTTTCTCTAGGTCAGACTTGAATAAGGATTTTTTTACTTCCTTCTGACAGCACACCACAGCTGTCTTGCCCTGGGGAAAACTGGACTTGGGGCCATTGTTAAGTAGACCGTGAGGACGGCGTTTCAGGCGTGAGCTGAAACCCGTGCAAACAAGACAAAGATGCTCCGCCTTCCTAAGGCAGAGTCTGTGCACGTCTGAGAAAGGTGTGCAAGTGCCCAAGTCAGGAGGACCGACTGCTGCCATCAAGTGAAAGGCTTTCACATGCTTCCCACGACCATCTCCGTTCTCAGCCCAAGTTCCCAGTCCACCAGTGTCGTTGGGCTGCACCACACGGCTGGAGCCCAGGACCCACCTCCTCCCCACCCCTCGGTCACCTCCCCCCTTCCTGCCTCTGCCGCTCGCCGCCTCCTGCTCTGCTGCTCAGGCTGCTGTCCGCACCCGAGGCACTGCCCAGGTCAGGGCCGGGGTTGCTGCTCGCCGCCACCAACAGGTGGTTCCTGGGGGAGAGGTCACCATCTGCACAGGGTGCCACCTTTCCCTCTCTCGTTTGCGTTGCCAGATCAGCCGTCAGCCGCGCCTCCTCGGGACTCACGGTCCTACGCCCTTGCCCTTTCCTCCTCTTGTACTCCAAGATCTGTTTGTTGAGCGCCTCGTGGTCAATCCCACACAGACTTGAGCATGTGGCAGAGGCCGGGGTGCCTCGCGGCTCAGGAGCATCCAGGGCCCCGGGGCCCCTGGAGGGAGAAGAGGCATCTGGTGAAGCACAAATGAAGCAGCAGGGCAGCGTGGGCCCTAGGCGAGCGCTCCCACTTCCCACCTCCACTTGCCTGTGGGCTGCCCGAGTCCAGGGGAAGCTGGGGGTATGGCACAGGGCTCCCCGGTCCAGAGCCACTCTGCTGGTGCTCCTGGAGCCTGCACATGGTGCAGGCCAGCACGGTCCCCGCACAGCCCCTCCCACCAGCCATGTTTTCCATCTTTTCCCCCAGTTAAACATGGCTACTGTGCCAGGCCAGTTTCACAGAATTACAGCTGGGGGCTTTTAGATCTATCACTCAGGTTACTTGAGAAACCAAAGGAAAAGATCAGAACTGGTGCAACCCTTTCAAAACCCAAATTCGGCCAAGTCATGCCTCTAAACCCTTTCCTGCTCAGCTCTGGAAGGTCTCACACCCACAGGCTGGGCTCCTCGTGGCTTGGGGCCTCTGCTCTAGCCCCGCAGGCAGGATGGTGGCTGTGGGCCCTGCTGGAGATCCCAACAGTACCCTGGACACTGAGGTACCTGTCCAAGGAACAGAGGCTCAGCGCCTGCTGGAGCTCTTCCCTCACCTGTGATGGGGCCTCCACATACACCCGAGTCCTCACGTCTCTCTCTCAGTGACGGCCTGACTGAAAACTGCAATGCTGCCCCCACCCTCCCACCTCCTCATCAGCCAACCAGACCTTCCTGACCTACAATCATCTGTGGCTCCCTGTTGGCCCTGCCCACAGCAAAATGCGAGCTCCAAAGACCCCACCGTCTGTTCTGTTCATGTAAGAATCCTAGCTTCTAGAACAAGAATATAGTACGCACTCAAGAAAACTGTGCTGAGTGGATAAAGAGGGTGAGAGAGGGACACCCGTCCTCCCTTGATGAGTCACTGTAGCCTAGACTTCTGGGGGATCACAGGGGCCTTTCCAGTGGCCTTGCTGAGGTGCCGGAGCTGCTGCACACTGCCACTGAGATGGGCCACAGGCCACTGCCAAGCTGGGCCCCTGAGCACAATGCCAGGCCTGGCCTGCACACCCAGCTGAGGGTGCAGGACTGTTGTAGCTGCCGTAGCAAATAGCAATTCCACACCTGGACATCTGCCCAAAGAATCAAAATCACATCCCCACATACCTGACGTCATCTTGCACACAATCTTCTTTTTCATCTGGGGGTCCAAAATCGGCAACGGCCAGTAACTGATCAACCTGAGGACAGATGGAGGGTAACCTGATAAGCCACACCTCCACCACCGGCATCAGAGCCTGTGTGAAGCCTCGCCGTGCTGGCTCAGACACAGGCCTTCCGACTGCCCATCCCAGCCCTCTGCTGACACCTCCCAGTGAGGACGCTTTCAAGCATCTGCTACTTAAAATCACATGTCCTCTGATAACCAAAGTACACTTAAAACTTGTAAACGTCAAACTTATGAAGAAACCAGGTAAATGTTAGTTCAAGTAAGTAATTCCTAATGAAATGTAAAATACTTCAATTTTGCCATAGAATTCATGTGTTTGGAGAAAGGAAGCCTCCTGCCCTAGCGATAAAGTTACAGTCTGGGGTCCAGCATGTGAATCCAGTTGCACAGTGGCCGAAGGGCCTAACCTGGAAATGAAAGCTCTCCTCGTCAGGGCACCACACAGAGCCCTGCTCCCTGGACACTGAGGGCAGCTCACACCTTCACCCCCCTACCTGCGTACCCAGGACATGCACCTGAGACCCCACCCTGCTGTGGGGCAAGCCCAGGAGAGCCCAGGACCGGAGCCAGTCCTTCCACCACAGCACAAAGCACCATCACAAACCAATGGCACGCCAATAAAACCCACAAATGGAAAAAGAAGCAGGACCAAAAGAAAACCAGTCCACAGAAAACAGAAACAGGACGGACAATGCCACAAAGCGAGGACCTGACGTCTCCCAGGTTAGCTTGGAGGACACATCTGCTCGCACCTGCCAAGGGACCTGTGCTGCACACGACCATTCTGCACAACTCCACACTAAGCAAACCTCACAAGAATGGCCAAAAGACTTGAACAGACTTCACAAAACAAAGAACGGCCAACGGGTGCATGGGAAGATGCTCACAAACATCAGTCATCAAGCAAATGCACGTGTGAGCACCAGCAGGGCCACCACAAGCACAGCAGGACCGCTGACGTCAGGCGGGAGCTCCCAGCGGTCCAGACAGTCCCATCTGACCAGCAGTTCCTCAAAATCAGACACACCTGCCACTCCCACATACTGACCTCAAACACGCAAAGACGTGCCACAACGGTTCACAACAGCTCTACTCACAGTCGCAAAAAAAAAACAGAAAAGAAACAAATGTCCGTGAGAGGTGAATGGGTCACTTAATGACAAGGAACCACATACACATGAGACAACGTGAATCTCGAAAACAGCGCTGAGCAATAAAGCCAGATGTGCCTCTGTGTACGCGGAATTCCAGAATTCTAACCAGGCAAAACTAATTTACAGCGGGTGGTAGGGAGGGTGAGGGCTGGGGCGCAGAGAAGGGGCCGCGGCACCAAGGCAGGCCCTCCTCCATCTGGCGCACTGCCTGGAAATCAAGCATCACCAAAGCTTCTCCACGCAACTGCAACCAGATGCTGACACGTCCACACGGGCTGCAGGGATAGGAGCGGCTCCACGCTGACCTCTGAGAGAAATCAGGCTGCTCGGACGACCTCTCCAGGGAAGACTCAGGATCGACTATACCAAGACAAGCAAGCAGCCCGTGTGGTTAGGCGTGCTCTGCCAGGCGCTGGCTTCTTACAAGTCTGGCGGTCAGCCGGAAAACAAGCAATGTGTAATATTGTAATAAATCACAATACCGGTATCGTAGTTGATGCGTTTTTGTTTTTTTTTAGTTTTACATTTTTCCTCATAATCATGATAAAAATCAGTATTTTAAAAATTCTCTGATTGAAATGTAACACACGGGAGAAGTACACAAACCGTTACATGTACAGCTCTAGGACATTTCGCAAATGCACGAAACGTCTGCACCCATAGGTGTTCCTCCCCTGACGTTGCAGAGATGAACCCCAGAAGCCTCTTCACGTCCCTCCTGCTCACTCCCTTGTCCAAAGACAGCCATCAGTTTGACTTCCATCCCCAAACATTAGCCACCCTTGTCTGAACATTCTATAAACAGAACCACAGGGAACATGGCCTTTTCTCTGGCTCCACATCAGCTGCGAGGTGAGGGGAGCATGTCCACCCACCCACCTGTACCTGGGAGTGTGACCTGTACCCGGGAGTCTGACGTGTAACCAGGAGTCTGACGCATACCTGGGAGTCCCACCCATACCCAGGAGTCTGGGAATCCAACCCGTACCTGGGAGTCTGGGAGTCTGACAGGTACCCGGGAGCCTGACACGCACCTGGGAATATAACCCGTACCCAAGAATCCCAGGAGTGTGGGAGTCTGACGTAGTACCCGGGAGTCTGACCTGTACCTAGGAGTCTGGGAGTCTGATGCATACCTGGGAATCTGACAGGTACCCGGGAGTCTGACAGGTACCCGGGAGTCTGGGAGTGTGACCCATACCCGGGAGTCTGACCTGTTCCTGGGAGTCTAAGAGTCTGACGCATACCCGGGAGTCTGATGTGTAACCAGGAGTCAGATCCATACCTGTGAGTCTGGGAGTCTGACCCATAACCCGGGAGTCTGACTGAGGGATCCCTGCCGCCAGCACTCCGGGCGAGTCTCGTGTGCACACATTCGTTTCAGGTGGCGGGATGTGCGCACCCTCAGCTTCTGCTGCCAGCTGCTTGGCCCACAGCACAGAGCAGGTCCCCCAGTGTCATTCTGGCCCACCTGGTATGGTCACTAGTGGAAACCTCTTGGGGGAAGGGCAAGCCCCAGCATCTGTGCGGGCCAAGCACCCCTGCATGTGTTTACAGGCGCTGACACCAGCCCTGCTAAATGCTATTTGGGGTAGAGCTCATTACTGCTCTTCAAATGTTCAGACCAGTGAACGCTACCCTGAGAATGCAAAGTAAGCTGTTGCAACTACGGCCAGCCCCTGGCATTTCCAACTGCCTGCGACTTTTCAACACGTGTAACCAACGAAAGATACAGAAATGAGCGGATAGGTACAAGACTCAAGGTTTCATTCACAATCCCCAATTTCAACTGCGTGTCTATCCAAACTGCTTTACTACTGGCTGACTTTAACCCCTATTTCAAAAAAACACCACCCTAACTAATGCGAATCATCTGCCCCAATCAGAGATCCCCCGGCCCCCTCTGCTAGCTTCTGACTACAGGAACACAGACGCCTGAGGACGATGAGACAAGCAGAAGCCCAACCTTCCCTCTGCCCCCAGCACAGGAAGGACACGGGAGGACAGATGCTGGGCAGGCCCAAGTGGCCTCCATGAGCCCACAGCACCGTCTAGAGACAGAACGGCTCCGAGATGCTTTGAGCACTACCTGCACCTCCCCCCTTCCAATGACTTTTTCTAGAAAGGAGCCCCCAGAGCGAGGTAGGACCTACCTCCCCACAGAGGGACCAGCCATGAGGGAGAGGACTCTCCCTTCAGGTGGGTGGTACTTCCTCCCACCTGCTCCGCCAGCTGTGCATGGGTGAGTCCCTTGCGTGCATCTTCCCAGCACACCCCACAATCTAAATTCTACTTGATTCTCTAAAGCTGGCACTAGTCACGTTACTCCTGTTTCCTTTTCTAGTGAGGAAAATCATACATGTATCAAGGTAATTATTCATACAATGTTTTCAGTGTTGCTTATATAACAAATAACAAAAAACGAAAACTTCCACTTAGATTTGTTTTCCTCTGTGGATCTAAATACTACCTAGTCCTGGGGCACCTGAGCATCTGACTCTTGGTTTCGGCTCAGTTCATGATCTTGGGGTCCTGGGACTGAGCCCCATGTCAGGCTCCATGCTCAGTGGGGAATCTGCTTGAGATTCTCTCTCCCTTTGCCCACCACCTCATGTGCACCTGCGCTTTCTCTCAAATAAATCTTTAAACTAAATAAAAAAAATAAAAATAAAGAAATAATATCTAGTTCTGTGGTGAGTAACAGCCACCCAACTATATTATCATATGAATGATGAATGAATACCATGAATACCACTGACTGGAGTTTTTTGTAAACTTTTTTAAAAGCATAACACATCTTAATAACTACTGAGTAACCACCACACAGAAAGAAAATGTATATAAACTTACAGGTTGCAACCTTTATAATTAACTTATAATTAACAGAATGTAACATCCAGTGTAAAGTAACTTATATCGAATCCACAGAGGAAGACAGTTTGTAAGTCGAGAAACCCAGGTTTCCTAGTCAGAGATTTAGTGGTAAACGTTAAAAGCCAGAAAAAGCAGTTACCTCTGGGGAATGTGGCTGGGACAGGTGCCTGGGAGCCTCACTTTCCATTTATACCCTTGGGGATTGATCACTTCCTTTAACTGTACCCATTATGATTCGAATGTTTGTACTCGTCCGCTAAACTTCTGTTACGGGAAGTGCATTACTTCAGAGCCGTACCTCAGCCAGAGCTGCATTTCCTTTGTCCTGAATGAACACTATTGGCGGCACATTCCTCAGGGTCTGCTGGGACATCAAAAGGTGCCTGGAGAGAGAGCAGAAAGGAAAACATAAAATCATCTCATGGAGAGTAAAACAAGAGATCTGCTGTCACATTTTTCAAACACGAAAACGTCAGCCCAGGGCATCCTAGCCAACTGCCACATCACACAAGGGATACCAAACACATCATCCCAACTGTTTCTAACTGCCTAAACGCAACTCTTGAGATCCTTACAAACAACCTGATCTGAGCCTGGAAGCCTCCTGGGCATTGCAGTGGCCATGGGCTGCGTGGTCTGGGCACCAACAGCCAGTGGACGTTCCCTGGCAACAAGGCCACAGAAGTACACCGAGGTCCTGAGGCACGAGTCAGACACGCAGCATCGTCTGCAGAGTCGCTCGTGCATGCAGATGGAGGTGAAGCAGCTGTGCAGACAGCCTCTCCACAGTGACAACACGTCCTGGGAGTGGTTACAGCACAGCCTGGTACGCTAAACCTTGGCTCATCGCAAGAGCTGGGAAAAGGGATGGTCTGTTCAGCTGATGTTCTGATTACCTAAAACTAATCAGAAAACAATACTGTTCTCGCCAACACTTGTTGGAAATCTTTCTCGTTTCTGTTAACAAGAAAAAAATAAACTGAGCACTCTTTGATATGCAATTTGGAAGAGACTCCTAGGGCCTCCTGGGACGGATGTCAGGAGAGCTGAAGCGGATGGCATGTAGAAAACACTGGTTCCACACAGGACTCACCCCCTTCTCCACAAAACGGGAGTACGATGGACAAGGCAGAGTGAGACAGACAGAAGAGGGAGGGAAGCAGAGAGGAGAACCCAGTTCTGAGAGTGCCGGTTGTCAGGGTTCTGCATTTCTTCAAACGGGGGGAACAGAGTAACTCCTTTACTATCACCCAGCTCGGCAGTTCTCAAAGTGCTCGGTCTCAAGACCTCCTTATGCTGTTAAAAATCAGTAAGAACACCAAGGAGCTTCTGTCAACGTGGGTTCTATCCGTCCACATCTATCATACTATAAATCAAAACTCAGAATTTGAAAAATATACATTAATTCATTTCAAGAAACAAACTCACTAAGTGTTCATGCATATTTTTAACGAAAAGTAACTTTTCTAAAAATATTTATTTATTTGTCAGGGACAGAGAGAGCACAAGCAGGGGGAGTGGCAAAGGGAGAAGCAGACTCCCCGCCAAGCAGGGAGTCCGACGCGGGACTCGATCCCAGGACCCCGGGACCATGACCCGAGCAGAAGGCAGACGCTTAACTGACTGAGCCACCCAGGCATCCTGAAAAATAACTACTTAAAAAAAAAAAATTGAGAAATGTGGCATTGTTTAGTTACAAATTTCTTCACTGCCTAGCTTAGTTGGATTCTCATCTCTCCATCTGCATTCAAGCCGTTGTTATTTTGGCTGAAATATATGAAAATCAGGCCTCACACAGATCCCTAACTGGAAAAGGAATATGTGAACAGCACTTCAGAAAAGAATGATCTTCTCTGATAACCCACAGAAAGTCCACCAGTGATGATTTATTAAGGGCTGGCTGCACCATGGAACCTGAAGCCAGGCCAGCGTCAAAAGTTACACTAAAATCCACTGGTCTTCCTGCACTTTGAGTCGAGCTTTCCCTACACTTGATTTTGTAGCCTCCTGTTTTGCTCGCTTGGAGACTACGGATCCCCCGTTACCCAGGTTTTCAGATGCTTGCACCCAACACTACACTAGTCAGCGTTACCACCAGGCTCATCCAGTCTTCAAGTATCGGAATGCTATCAGACTCCCAGTGGTAGACACAAGTTTTCTAAAGTCAATTTTCATTTGAAAGCTTGAATTTTGGGGCGCCCGGGTGGCTCAGTCGGTTAAGCGTCTGACTCTTGGTTTCAGCTCAGGTCGTGATCTCAGGGTCGTGTTGGCAGGGAGTCTGGCTGATGACTCTCTCTCCCTGCCCCTCCCTCCCAGATAAATAACTGTTTAAAAAGAAGGCTTGAATTTTATCACTGGCAACAAGTACAGTCGTTTTGTGTGACATGACAGGTTCACTTTGCTCATTTTAGAGAAAACATCAAATAACCGCATCTGAAAAAGCGCAGCTAGCTCACTTGTTATTTCAGTGAAGGAGCGTCTGCTTCAGCTCAGGTCAACTGCACGTTTCCCAAGACGACCGTCCCACGCCAGCAGGGCTAGCTTATGCTTGCTCCCCACTGCATACCGAGATGACATGCACCCAAGGGTTGGAACTTAATAAAATTAGCAACTTCTGCTTATTCATCAAGGGTATTCTTGAGGAAAACTGCGCTGCTTTTTCCCGTGAGCAGCTGGCATGAGGCTACAACGATCACGGGGACATCTGGATGTCAGGAGCCCCGAGACGTCTAGGACCACACTTTGAGAACCACTGTCCTAAACTACCTCCCACATGAATGTGTAAATTACGTTCTGGAATTTAAGAGTATGCTTCCCAAAGTCTCCTTAAAAGCAAAAACACTTAGTGAGCAAGGGGGAGATTCGAAACGCAAGCCGAAGCAGGCGGGCTGAGAGAGCAAGGTGAGATCACCTCATGTGTGCAGCACTCCTCTGCAGGACGGCCTGTGTGTGCGTGTTCTGCTCAGCGGAGATCGTGGTCTTCCAGTACACACGGCAGGTGGAGAAGTCTGGAGTCAGAGAAACCTGAGCCCACCCACCCCAGCCGCAAATCACTTTCACCTCCCGTGGATTTCCCGCACACAACACTCAGGAGACAAAAACGGGTGCGTAGCCTTCAGCTTCAGGCACCCGCCTCCCACAGGCGGGCACTCCAGAGGGTACCGCCACAAGCCACCGTCTCCTGCCGCTCACTCACAAGGGAGGAAGCTGGGCTCCGAATCCAAAACCTCAACGTCCCTGACCCCGATCCCACAGCGCACATCAGAAATGCCTGACCTGCTATTTCTCACCCTCCGTACGTCCCTCTGGCTAAACTCAAGTCTAGGGCGACACAGACCCATCTACCCCACACACGTCCTGGGCAGCTGATAACGCCACTGGTGCCCGCACACCACACATGTACACATGCACCCCATCTTTACTACTTAGATGGTCATGCTTAACCTGGCTTCTGAACTCAGAGACCTCGTGAATGACGTGGGGCCTCCTTCCTAACCACTAGGCTGCCGGCCTCCCCCGTTCCTCCCACTCCGCCCCCGAGTCTACCTTGGAGAGCTGCACATTCAGGTCACAGATCTCTTGGCTCACTTCAGCGGTGCACAGCAAATCCATCAGCGCTTTGTAGAGGAGGCCGTTCAGTGCCCTCAGGCGCACGTGGTCGTCCCTCCTGATCTTCTTTGAGGTGCTCTTCATTAGGAATTCCAACTGGGATGGCTTGTAAATCTTCATCCAGAAGAACAGACAAAAAGGCCAACATTACAACTGTACATTAAACTTGCTCTTGGGGCGCCTGGGTGGCTCAGTCGTTAAGCGTCTGCCTTCGGCTCAGGTCGTGATCCCAGGGTCCTGGGATCGAGCCCTCCATCGGGCTCCCTACTCAACGGGAAGCCTGCTTCTCCCTCTCCCACTCCCCCTGCTTGTGTTCCCTCTCTGTGTCTCTATCAAATAAATAAATAAAATCTTTAAAAAATTTTTAAAACATTAAAATAAAATAAATAAAATCTAAGAATTCACACTGCCAATGTCTCTAGTCCCACCCCTGCAGACCTTGTGTCCTCAAGTATGGAAATGGAACGACAGCCAGGCTGGAGCTCTGCCGACTTCTGGAGCCTTATGCCCACCAGAGCCTAAAGCAGCTCCTCGCAGCTGCTCTGTACTTACCAAGTGAGAGCCCAAGGAAGGACCTTCATACCAAAACTTCTTTCTATGGGGAGAAAATAAGAACTATGATACTGGTGGCAAATTAAAGAAAATAAAATCAAACACACCAACTCAACACTACAATACCACAATCCTTCCTAAGGGGCTAAACTTGGGCACAGAAATGATGTTACTGGAGGACTAAGAAATTCAGAATTCTAATCAACAACATGGGTTGTAGAGGAGACAAAGAGTTTTAATTCAACCTGGTAACGTTTATTTAAGGTCTACAATTCCAATCCTGAAGGTGGAGAAAGAAAACCTCAAAAGAAGGCCTACCAAACTGCATGTGAGCACGGTACCCGGGGTATGCAACCACGCATTTGCTGGACTGGACGAGAAAAATGGGTGGTGATGCGGGAGGGTTCACTGCTTCGGTGGGAGATTACAGAAAGCAAGCAAAGCCTCCTGGATGAGCCATGTGGTGGTGGACTTGAGCTGGACATCAGTATGGACTCAAGTGACCCTGAATATCAACGCAGTGGTCACACAGAGATGTTTACAGGCAAGTGTACATGCAGGGGTTAACAAAAATGTATTTTCTGCTTTGTCAGCTGAAAAGGCTTAAGGGACAGACACCCCAGCTCTCAGATTATCACCTCTGATGTCGTCCTGCAATAACAGAGCTTCTTGGAGAAATGGCTGACTCCAGGGCTGAGAAAGGAAGTACTAAAAAATGTTTTTAGGGGCCCCTAGGTGGCTCAGTTGGTAAAGCATCTGCCTTTGGTTCAGGTCATGATCTCAGGATCCCGGGATCAAGCCCCACGTCAGGCTCCCTGCTCAGCGGGGAGTCTGCTCCCTCTGTCCCTCACCCACTGCTCATGCTCACTCACTCACTCTCTCTCAAATAAACCTTAAGAAAAAAAGTTTTTAGGGGCGCCTGGGCGGCTCAGTCGTTAAGCATCTGCCTTCGGCTCAGGTCATGATCCCAGGTCCTGGGATCAAGCCCTGCATCGGGCTCCCTGCTCTGCGGGAAGCCTGCTTCTCCCTCTCCCACTCCCCCTGCTTGTGTTCCTGCTCTCGCTATCTCTCTATCAAATAAATAAATAAAATCTTCAAAAAAAGAAAGTTTTTAAACTTAAAAGCCGCCACAAAATCCCAATGATGAATGTGCCAAAGAATAAAGGAGCTAAATAAAGAGCTCCCAATGGTCAAAGACAAAACAATCTGAGAAAAATAAAGTAGTATTAGGTGAACACCCTGAAGTCCACGCTGATATAAATTAGTAAGACACGCGCCTCATGGAGGAGGGCAAGCATTCAAGAGCACGACTCCCCACCCCTCAGGTGTGCCTGCCCACGGTGAAGTCCCCTAAAGAAGACAGGACACAATGGGGGGTGGGTAAACCTGACAGACATGACCTCAGTCAGTCATCAGGGCCGAAAGCGACCGTGACAAACACCCCTCCGTAGCCCTCCTCCCAAGCTCCCGTAATGCCAGCACAACGGCGACAAGAAAACAAATCCCAAGCGGGGGGCACCCTAGAAAACGTCTAACCAGAGCGCCTCAAAACCATCAAGGCCATCAGACACGGGCAGAGACGGCCAGTCAAGAGGGGCCTGAGAGGGTGATTCAATGTAACGTGGTCTCTGGTTCCTGGGGCAGAAGAGGGACTTGAGGTTAGAACCAAGCAACGGGAATGAGGCGCACCTTCAGTCCACAATCCCGTGCGAACCCTGGCTCATTCGCGGACGAGCACGCCACACTGACCCATCACAGAGCAGACACCGGGTATCCGGGAACTCTGCACTCTCCGCCGACCTCGCTGTAAATCTAGAAATGTTTCCAAAATCTAGTCCATTAAAACGGACGTGTACCTACCACAGAGTTAAGTGTGGTACGGAAATCAACCTGTTTTATTACAGACCTCTCAGCAAAGAAAACTCCTCAAAGCCCACAAAAAAAACATTCAGGTGGACAGAAACGCTCACATATCTTTCCCTCTCTGATGAGTCTACTCCCCAAACTCCTGCTGGTAACAACACTCAACAAATGTTCCTGACATACTGTTAGGGCTTCGTCAGCTTAAAACTGTGTTACCTCAGCTGCACATAAATAAAGAGAAAAGGTTGAGCGGGAAACCGAGCAAATGTTAAATAGTGACGAGCGGGATTACTGGCAATTCTGCAATAATCGTAAACCTAACGAGAAAGAGCTACGCTTGCTGACCAGCTGCTGAGACGGGGCTCCAGCGGGCGCCCCAGACACCCCGCCCCCGCCCCGCGGACGCCCTCCCCTTGCCCCAAGGGCACCGCCGCCGCCCGTGGACTCCGCCCCTTGGCCCCCGCCCCCGCCCGTTGGCTCCACCCCATCCTGTAGTCCCTCCCCCTTGCCCCGTGGGCACCGCCCCCACCTTGTAGCCCCGCCCCCCGCCCCGTGGACTCCACCCCCCACCCCGTGGGCACCGCGCCCCCCGCCCTGTTGCCCCTCCCCCTTGCCCCGTGGGCCGCCCCCCTCTCGTGGACAGATGCCCCGAACCTGCGTCCTGCCCCATGGACACTGCCCCTGCCCCCTACCCGAAGTCAGTCGCCCTCTGCCACAAGGGCACCGCCCCCACGCCCAGCGCGCCCCCACCCAGACTAGGTGCGCATTACTTGGTTTTCGAAGCAAATTTCTTGAGTAGGTTCTTGCCGCAAGAGACCGGCGAGCCACTCAGGCCTCGCGTACCACCCGGAAGGAGAGCCGCGTAGCGACCACGGAACAACGCCGGGAGCCCCTCGAGAAGCCCCCACGGTCGGAGAGTTCCCACCCGCATGGCTGCGGCCAGAGCGCCGGGGCGGGGCGACGTGGGGGGACGCGGGGCGTGGGGACGTGAGGCGACGCGGGGCGGGGCCGACGCGGGGCGGGGCCGTGGGACCAAGCAGAAGCACGCGGAAAGAGGTGAATTCGGAGACGCAGTGTCATCTGGGGCGGGGCGACCCGCGTACGGAGCGACGTAGGGGCGGGGCGACGTACCTTCGGGGCGCCGTGTGGTGCACGGCGGGCCTCCAGAGCGGGGCGGGGTCGAGAGGCCGGGGCGTTGCGGGGCGACGTCGGGGGGCGGGGCCTGCAGACCCGGGGGCCGGCGGGGAGCGCGAGCGTCCGTGCGCCGCCTGGAGTGCGCCTGGCCCCGGCGGTCCGGCCGCTGCGCCGACTGGGGGAGTGCGCCCGGCCTCGCCCGCGCCCCCGGGCCGAAGATGCGAGCGGGGAGGGGAGGTGCGGACGATCCAGGAGCCCCCGCCGCCTCAGCAGCCTCCTGTGCGCTCCAGAAGGAGGCAGGCCCGAGCCTGGGGGTCCGCCCGGCTCGACGCCCCGCGCCCCTCCCGCCCGCACGACCGGGGCCGCAGGCCTCGAGGGAACTGGGCGCGCGCACGCTGTGGCCGGAAGGCCAGAACGGCAGGGACACTGGCCCCCGGCAGGCGGGAAGGCGGCAGGGCCCCCGGGGAGAGGCGGACCCAGCCCGGGGCTCACTCCGAGGGCGGCCGTCTGCCCGCTGTGCACGGGGCCCCAGCCGCTGTGCTGCGCTTCCCTCGGCGACGTACAGCTGCCCTCAGAGCTGCCCGGAGGAGGGCGTGAGCGAGGGGGCCCGGCGCCGAGCGAGCTCTCCGTGGACAGCATTACTGCGCTTAAGGTTTTTCGGCCAAGAGAATTCAAACGTTTCTTTAGATGTATTTACTTACCTGAGCTCCGCTGCCCGGGTGGGGCCTCAAACAGGACCCTGACATCCCCCGGCTGAGCCAGCCAGGCACCCTTTGGCCAGAAGAATACAAACCGATCTATGGAATGGACTCTAGTGAATACGCAAGATAAGATCTCTTCCCGTTTAATCTGTCCTTGCCCTGGTTAGCCCACATGAGATCACTTAAGGAGCACTTCATTAGGAACGGGAAGGCCGCTGACAGAGGCCAGGATGCTTTGCACCAGATTCTCCATCATCCGTCGTCTGGCTTGGTGCGTAGCGCTTCCGAGGTGAGGCGTCAGAACGACGTTGCTCAACTTCAATAAGGGGTGGTCTCTGAAACGCAGATGAATTGATGAAATCTGTTAAGCGTGGTTCGGTGTCTCTGATTTCACGGCTTGATACCCTCACGCTGAGAAGGGGAGGCTGCGGGTAGCCTGCCAGCATGACCACCCCTCGTCTAACGCCGTAGGTGGGGGCGCAGCATTTCGGGGGGCAGGACAAGTACCGTAGTGGCACCCGGGCCGTGAGCACAGTGGCCCGACGGGGTGGATTAAACAACACTGGCCCACCAAACAGGAGAGGCCCCTGGGGATCTGGATGCTAGTCTAGGCATCATGGGACAGGCTGAATGTGCCTTTAATGAGTAGTGGCCTTCAGAGGGGAAAGAGCAACTGGAGTTGGGTTAGGGGGCGTTCTCTTCCCGGAAGCAGGCAGCGGATGGGAGTCAGCCGGAAAAAGAAGGAAGTGTTAGTGAAGGGGGTCAGGGGGACTCCAACAATGGTGGTAACCCCAGCAACCAGCACTAGGAAAGGGCGGTGACCTGACCCGGCAGGGCCTCTGGGCTGTTCTAATACAAAGGCCAAAGTAAGCCCGCAGCAGTCAGCCTCCATCCTCTGGGAATCTTATGGGCCCCAAACCTGCGGAAATTCTCTGGGGGCACTTGTAATTTATGTCACTGCGCCATGACTGTCCTTGCCCCCAGGGCTGATCAAACTGAAAGACAGAGCCTATAATACTGTCAGCAGGGCAGACACTCCTCAGAAAAACACTTCCTTCTCCTGCTAGGAAGGAGGTGGGCCCTACTATCTAACAGACACCGGGCACCAGTCTCAGTATGAGGCTGTCCACACGACTCAGAACTCAGAAATAATGGAGTCGTGGCCAATTGTAACACCACCTGTCCAGAGTATTTGGCGTACAGGCAAGACCTGATTTGTCATATCATGAAACTGAATCGTACCAGCACAACATTGCAACGCTGGCATTGCTGAGATTTAAGTCACATGATAACTGACAAGCTTTGGGAGAGACCCCTGTCCTTGCCCTGTGACTTGTTAGTGAAGCTACCAAAAAGCTCATTCAGCAGACTAGGCAACAGGTGAGCCCTAAGCTTCTAGGTTTCTGAATAAATTGACAACTGTCTAGAATGCTCATGCTTCTTAATTGATATTGACATTCTTTTGTTCTACATTCTAAGTGGTTCTCAAACATTTGGTCTCGGTAGTCTCTTCAGGTCAATATTTTTTTTTGTTAAATTTTTTTTTTTTTTAAGTACGCTCCACACCCAATGTGGGGCTTGAATTCACAACCCTGCGGTCAAGAGTTGCTCACTCTACCGACAGCCAGCCATGCACCCCAGGACCTCTTGACACTCTTTTTAAAAATGTTTAAGATTTTATTTATTTGAGCGAGAGAGCGAGTGCAAGTGAGAGGCAGAAGAAGAAGCAGACTCCCCACCGAGCAAGGAGCCTGACACGGGGCTTGATCCCAGGACTCTGGGGTCACAACCTGAGCTGAAGGCAGACACTTAACCGACTGAGACACCCAGGCGCCCCTCTTCACACTCTTAAAATTGAGAATCACAAAAAAAAATTTGTTTTTATGGGTTGTATCTGTCAACATTTATTGTATTAGAGATTAAAACTAAAAAAAGATTAATACAATAACAGAAGCGCACATTTCATTAGTTGTCAGAGTGATGATGTCATCAGTCTGTACTGAAACATCTGAAAAATTATGACTGTACAGACCCCTCAAAGGGTCTCCAGACCACATTCTGAGAAACTATTCTAAATAAACTTGGTTTTTTTGTTTGTTTTTTTTTTCAGAAATATAAGTTCTATGGTCAGTCTTGATAAACTTAAGATACTAAATTTGGTTGTAATGTCAAACATCCAGCCGACAGTAATTTGCTTACTAGACAGAAATCAAAGCTGCAGGAATCAAACCTGGCTAAATGAATGACACCAAGATTCAAAATAAATGACAGAATCAAGACTCCAGTCCCAACAGGCTGGATCAATGGGTCAAAACACAAGCATGGAGTGCCTGGGTGGCTCAGTCAGTGGAGTGTCCAACTCTTGATGGAGACCCTGGAGTTGGGGCTCAGCAGGGCGTCTACGTGAGACTCTCCCTCACCTTCTGCCCCCCCCATGCATGCATGCGTGCATGCTCCATGCACCCTCTCTCTCTCTCAAAAAATACACAGGGGCGCCTGGGTGGCTCAGTCGGTTAAGTGTCTGCCTTCAGCTCAGGTCATGATCCCAGGGTCCTGGGATTGAGCCCCGCATCGGGCTCGCTGCTCAGCAGGAAGCCTGCTTCTCCCTCTGCCTGCCACTCCCCCTGCTTGTGCTCTCTCTCTCTCTGACAAATAATTAAAATCTTTTAAATAAAAATAAAATGTCCTTAAGACACAGAAGCAAATTACATTAAACAGAAATAAATGTAAAATTCCACACATATATTTAAAAGACAATTGAGGGAATAATTTCCATTTTTGCTGACTAAAAATGGAATGAACTAAGAATGCAATGGGCCTGCTAGGAATACACGCTGTGAAACCAACCTGCGTGGTCAGACCCCAACATGAAGCCTGTGTTCAGGTCTTGAGAGCACATTATCAAAGGACCTCAAAAACTAAAGTGCTAGAAGCATTAATGATGATAAGGTGACTGGAAATGCTACCATTTCGGCTGTGATCGAGGGACCTGAAGATACTTAATCTCAGACACCTGGCAGTTGTTGGACAATACACAAGGTTTGTAAAGAGGACAATGGTCAGAGACTCTGATGCTCCAGGGGGCAAATCAGGGTCACTGGCTAAGGCAAGGACTGTTCTGGTTGGATAGGAGCAAGACTGTCCAGTGCAGTCTCCACCCATGGGGGCTGCTGCCCGAAAGCCCAGAGCTCCCTGTGCACGGAGATGTTGAAACAGATGTCTGGCCATCTGTAGAACCGGACAGGTCACCAGAGGCCTGCTCGGACCCCTCCATGGCCAAGACCCCGCCGGTTTGTGACTTAACACGGCTGCAAAAGCCAAAAGCAGTGACTGCTGGAGGAGTGCCCTCTGTGCCTCGAGAGAGATGGCGGTTCTGTCTGGCTTCCTTACCTAGGCAGGGGCTCCGGGTACGTCACGTCCAGCGCTGCCCCTTTGATGATCCCAGTCTGAAGAGCCTCCATCAGCGCGTCCTGATCGACTAACAGACCTGAGTCAACGAGACAAGGCCTCTGCGTTACTCTGGTTGGGCAGGACCTGGGAAGGACGCTTTGGTCACCGTAGCTGCTATTCCAAACATGTCTTGGTCCTGTCAAATGTCTGACAAAGAACGTGTGAGCTTCATTCTGCCAATTCATTATTAGACGTGGCAAGCCTGCCACATGCCAGGCAGTGTGCTAAGCCCTGCACACGCACTATCTCACTGAATCCTCCAAGAACCTGGCAAAGCCAGCATTCGTTTTACACGTGAGGAACTGAGGCCTGACCCCAGCTCACACAGCTCCTAACATAGCAACCCAGATCTGAGCTCAGGTTTGTTTAACCTCAGGCCTGGGCCTGTCTCACTTTACACACCGCCTCCCCAGGTTAGGGACACAGCTCCCAGACACTGCAAACACACTTTAAAAACTAAACCACAAGCACAATCGACAACTGTCATTTCAAATACAGAAGAGCAGAAGCTGAGAAGAAAACCCCTTCCTTGAGGTAGAGACTGGCAAGGAGCCGAACGCCAGCATCCTTTCCTCTGACCGATGGAGGGGCAGCCTGCTGGTCAGAACACAGAGCGCCCCTGGTGTGTGGAGGGCTGCTGCTGGAGATGCCTCATCCCACAGCCCTTTCCTGGGCAGGTTTTCCAGAATCTTGAGTATGTTCACCAGCCTCGGACATTACTGAAACTACCTAATGCAATGGTCCTTCTGGCTCACCTACAGGGTCTGAATTTTCAGAGAACTCTCAAGCATGTTAGCTTAGCCCTGTGCGGTTTTCTGCTCTTCCAACACCAACTCTTTTTGGGTTCCCGAACCCAATTCCAACATGGGGGGGAGGCCTTCTACAAGACCAAGCAATTCTTGGGATAGCAGCAAGGTGTCTGAGACTTCAACACAATTCAGTTGCAACACAACTGTCTGCCTTGGAAATGGCATCCGATCCCACAGGTTAAGGGCTCAGTCCTATAAGACCGCCTCCTGCCCCCAAATTCAGACACTAGTCGGAAGTCCCAGTCTCAGGCCTGGGCCTGTCTCACTTTACACACCACCTCCCCAGGTTAGGGACACAGCGATTTTTGGAACCCACGCACTCAAGCTGCCAGGAGGTCCAACCATGTGATCAGAGGGCTGGAACTTTCGGCCCCACGCCTGACCTCTGGGGAGGGGAAAGGGCCCGGAGGTTCAGTCAGCCAACGGCCAATGAAGGCCAATGATTCAATCAATCGTGGCTATGCAAAGAAGCCTCCATAAAAACCCAAAGGGCTGGGTTCGGAAGCTTCCAGATTGGTGAACGCCTGGAGACTGGGAAGAGTGGCTGTCAGGAGAGGGCTTCTGACTCGTGCTTCTGACCAACTGGCTGCAGATTGGCGGTTCCAGTGACCTCCTCCATAATTTGCTGCAGCGGCTCACAGAACTCAGGGAAACACGTTTACCTGTTTGTTAAAGGGTATGACAAAGGGTAGAATCAACAGCCAGATGAAGAGGTGCACAGGGAGCGGTCTGGGGAACGGGTGTGGAGCTTCCATGCCCTGTCCTGACAGCCACTCTTCCCAGTCTCCAGGCGTTCACCAATCCGGAAGCTTCCGAACCCAGCCCTTTTGGGTTTTTATGGAGGCTTCTTTGCATAGCCACGATTGATTGAATCATTGGCCGTTGGCTGACTGAACCTCCGGGCCCTTTCCCCTCCCCAGAGGTCAGGCGTGGGGCCGAAAGTTCCAGCCCTCTGATCACATGGTTGGACCTCCTGGCAGCTTGAGTGCGTGGGTTCCAAAAGTCGCCTTCATTAACAAAAGACACCTTTATCACTCTCAACACTTGGGAAATGTTGAGGGTTTGGGGAGCAGAGAGCCAGGCGCTGTGGATGAAGACCACAGCCGAATGACCAAAACTGTATTGCTTACAAACTACAATCTCTGGTGGCAAGCACTGTTTTCCTCGTTTTACGGATAAGACACGCATGGCTGTTGGTAGCCCCAGGTGTCACACGTCCTCTGGCTCCAAACCCCACAGAGGTGCCTGGCCTGGATGTCTAACAGCAAGCAGCACTGATCCTCAGATTCTTTATAAATGCCACACCTACCAACCCACAACACATGCAACTACGTCTTGTATATAAACACAAAGCACTACATAAGTGTTGAATAACCAAACTAAGTTACTTATTTTTTAAAGTGAAGGCTCAGAAAATTCATCCCCATAAATTTTGCTTAATTACATCTGGAAAACAAAACTATAATGCCCCTACCCCAAGTAGATGCCCAAATTGGGCTGTGAAAGCCCCATATTGTAACATTCTCATCCTTTTTGTTATTAATTTGAGTTTCAAAATGAAGTGAAAACAAAAATCAGAAATATCTCTAAACAGGAAGTAGACTCCTTCCAACTCAGCACCCCACCCCCACCCCCGGTCTCTGTGGACTTTTGGACGCCACAGCCATCGGGAGAAAGGCAGATTGGAGGAGCTGCATGGCCTGGCCGTTTCCTCCCGCATGACTGTCCAGCCCCCGGGCCCGTGGTCCGTGGAGACAGTACCTCTGCCGATGTTGATGAGAATGGCTGTGGGCTTCATCAGACTCAGCTCCCTCTTCCCAATCAGCCTCTGGGTCTGGGGCGTCAGGCTCACAGCCAACAGCACAAAGTCTGATCGCTGAAGCAGATCATCCAGACTCTCACAATAAGTGGCACCAACAGCTTCCTCCTCCTCTAATTTCCTATGAAGGGAACAAGGAAGAAAAACTATGTTCTCCAATCAGAAATTCATCACATTGCCCCAGGAAGGAGGTTCTGAGGCAAGCCAAGAATGCGGCCTGTCACCACTGGGTCCAGGACCCATGGGAACCCCGTGGGCACCTCTGGGTTCTTGGAGGAGAGGCCTCGGGGTCTGTGGGAGTTCACACCAGACTGAGGCTCCTTGAGGCCAGGAGCTGCTTGTCACTTGAACCCCCAGAGCCTGGTACAAGCCCAACAGTGCATCAGACATATGCTCGATGACCACAGAACATTACTGAAAGGAAGTAGGTTCCACTCAAGCCAGAGCATGAGCATGTACTTCTGTGACCACAGAGCATCACTAATGTGGGCAAACACATCTAGGTTTCCAGAAAACACACAAACAGAACAGGAGAGGGCCTAGGGCCTAGGAATGCTGCTTATCATGCAGAAAGCAAGGATTCCAGAGTCTGAAGCAGGCAGACTTTTGTGTTTTGTTTTGGTTCAATCCTAATTCCTGCTCGGGCCACCCCAAACAGCTGGTTATTCAGCAGAGATTCCAAGATCCTAGAGGTCACAGCATCCTGGGCAGCCGCCACGGCTCTATAAATACAGAATTCCAAATTACACAAATTCTCTCCTAACAGTCCCCCCCTGTTTGGGTCAGGGGACAGCCCCGAGGAAGGATGAATACCATGCCCACATCACACACTTTGTCCTGCAAGAAGCCTGGCCTCTGTGTGCACGTGTTCATCACAAGGAAAGTTGTCACACCTAAGTCCACCGTCCATGGTGCAAACACTGACTGAAAAGACAATCTCCCAGCTCACCATGCCTCCAGGAGTTCCTCACCAGCTGGGAATGTGGTCCACAGGCAGTGGGAGGCCCCTGAAAGGCTGTAAACAATGGCCATCATCTGGCTGGTTTGCAAGGAGGGCTGGAGGTTCAAGAGCAGAAGTGAGCAGTCCCGTAGGAGAAATATGTATTTCAGGTGAGAAAGGACGGGGCCTGAGCCAGTGGCATTGATGAGGTGAGAGAGAACAGGCAGGTCTGAAGGCTGTTTGGAGATGGAGCCAACAAGCCTGGGCGTTGGGCTGAGGGAGAGCCTGCACACTCAAGGACGCAGGTCCCTCACTGAGAGCCAACACGTCCATCAGTATTAAAGGGACCAGTCAAGTTGCTCAGTGGGTATGGACAGTTTCTCCCTTTCACTTTGGAAATTTAAAAAATACAATTGTGAGTTAAAATTTATTCTGGTGAATGTTTTCAATAAAAAAATTCTCAGCCACATTCCTAGGTAATCACCATCGCTTTCTTGACCATCATCCTTATTTTTTTGGAGAGAAAGAGCAGGGGAGTCTTATGAAAAACGGGGGGATCCTATATCCAAGCCATACTGAAGGCAGTGATGGTATAAGTTCTGCTCAGTTGATTTCAGGTCCATTTTCTGAATGTTTACCTGCGTCTCCTGTTGTGATACAGAACCTTCATTTCGAATGCTTTGGCTCTCTGAGCAATCTTATAACCAATGCTGCCCATGCCAATGAGTCCCAGAGTGGCCCCCGTCACCTCTTGACCCACCCAATTTGTAGAAAATGTCTCTGTATCTGGTGCACTGGCCAACATATGACCTAAAATATAAAAGGTACAGAGTGAGTGGTGGGGATGGCACCACACACAGAAAGCCCACACCCTCCCTGGGGCCTTCTGACCCTGCGGCGCTCACGCCTCTCTGACCACAAAGGTTTCTGCAAGGGCTGAAGGGGGGGGTGGGGACAAACAGCAATTTCCTTGTAACGAAACCAGAGCATTCTGGTAGAAAGCTTTAAAACACCAACTTCTTTTACATTAAGGAAGGCCTTCTGGTTAAAATCTGTTGGTGGTATGTGTGTGTGTGCATGCATGAAACACAGCCAGACCAGAAAGAGCCTGGTTCTTGCTTCCCCTTTCCTCAGGCGTCTTCCTGAGGAGGAGTCCCCCGGGGAGGGCGGGGGAAGGGCTGAACTGCTCTGCTGCCCTTCCTGGGGACCCTCCCAGAGACGTCTGGGGTGTACAGGGGTCCTGCCTTCTTACTCGGAGGCCTTCACCCCAGCAGAGACTGCTGATTAACCAAGGAATGACCCCCAGGGCATTTCCATGGAGATGCTGAAAGTACTTCCACCGTCAAGGGAACTTGGAAGCTGGTGAGGGGTGGACAGGGCTGCTGTCAGACAGCCTGAGTGGGCCCGATTCCCGAGTGCAACAAAGTCCTGGATACAGTGTGAAGAAGTCAGGGCCCAGGAAAGACTTGTTGGAAGATAAAATTACGTTGTTATCTCTGTTATGATCTGTCATCTACTCTCTTTGGAAAACCAGCATCTCCAATGGCTGTTTACCTTCCACGACCCTGCGAGCTGCAGCCAGCAGTAAGGCCATCCCCATGTCTGCCGTGGGGTTGGACACGGCCTGTGGTGTGTTGGCTACCTTCACACCAAAGCTGGCGATGAGCTTCAGGTCCAGGTGATCGAGACCTACTCCTGCGCTGGCAATTATCTTCAAGGAGGGCAGGCTCCCCAGGAGCTCCTGGTCAATAGCTGGCCTTCCTCCCCAGATATATACAGCTTGGATCTTTGGGCCAAATTGCGTTTTATTTTCCAAAAATTCTTGCAAGGTAATGAGATTAAAGTGTTTCTGCAGATCTCCAACGTGATCTTCACATATCCCATAAGATCCCTCCAATCCAGACACCAACACACCAGGTAAGTCCTGATCCCCCATGGCCTGCAGGAAGACAAGCACAGTCTCTGCCGTCAAATCATCTTTAAAAGAACAATCAGTACGCTCCTGTAGCTCCCTGCTACTCCGCCTGTGCTCTTTTAGGGTTCCGAGCACCCAATTTCCAACATGGGGGTTCCCCCACCCACAACTCCAAGCAGTTCTCAGGATACCAGCTGAGTGTCCCAGTGTCCGAGAATTCAACTCAATTCTGACATTATCTACCCAAAGATAGCATCAGATCCCACGGGTTAAGGGCTGAGTCCTCTAAGACTGCCCACCCCACCTTCCAACACCAGTCACTGCCACCAGGCTGCTCCCTGTGCTTCTTTTTTCTACTTTTTTTTTTTAAGAGATTTTATTTATTTATTTGACAGAGAGAGACACAGCAAGAGAGGGAACACAAGCAAGGGAAGTGGGAGAGGGAGAAACAGACTTCCCGCCAAACAGGGAGCCCGATGTGGGGCTCAATCCCAGGACCCTGGGATCATGACCTGAGCTGAAGGGAGACGCTTAACGACTGAGCCACCCAGGCGCCCCCGCTCCCTGTGCTTCTGACCCACTGGCCGATTGGAGTTTCCAACCACCTCCTCCTTAGGTTCTTCGAAGTCACCAGAGCGGCTCACAGACCTCGGGGGCACTGCCTTGTGCTTCCCAGTTCCTTAAAGGACATGATAAAGGACACCAACAGTGAGGTGCCAGACAGCTGAGTTTCTGTCGTCATGGAGCTTGGGGCCGGCTCATCGTAGAAGAGTTCTGGTTCCTAAGCGTGGAAGGTCCCCAGAAAGGACCAAAAAGCTGACCTCTTGGGTTCTATGGAGGCTTCACTGCGTAGCCGGGATTGATGAAATCATTGGCCACTGGCGGAGTCAGCCTCCGTCCTCTCCCCAGAGGTCAGGGATGGGGCTGAAACGTCCAACCTCTGATCACAAGGTCGGTCCTCCTGGCAGCCCACCTCGCCCTGGGGTGGGGTCCCAAAGTCACTTCATTAAGACCATGTCCCCTTTCTGGTACAGAGCGTTTCCAGGAACTGGATAAAGACCAAATACATCAGGTATATTTTGATCATCTGAACAACCAAATACGTATTTCTCATAAATCATTGCAGTTACTCTTTAGATTTTCTAAATTACATCAACACTGGAATTCATTTTATTTCTTGGACAAATCCCTATAATACCTGAGGGCAACAGACCCACACCTCTGAAGTTACCAATGCTTCCATCCCGCCCCCTTTCCTCCCTATCCTACTTGGGTCTTTATTTCTACCTTTCAGCTGTGGTGGCATCCTCTCAGATGGCCTCCAAAGATCCCCCTCCTGTCAACCACATCTTTGCGTGACCCCAACCCTGGTGCTTCAAGTGAAGAGAAGACAGCAGAAGCAATGGGAGGTCACCCTGTGGGCTCCCTTTCTCCCATTCCTGGGGGAGGCCAGGGCCATGCTGGAAGGCATCCCTGTGCAGACACCCATGTGAGTGAGCTTGGAAGCAGATCTAAGAGGCCTGCCAACAGCCTGGTGAGCAGGGAGGTGACCACAGCCCTGGCCAACCCTCCGTTAATGTTTCATAAGATCCTGGGCCAGAACCACCTGGGTAAGCCACTCCTGGACTCCTGACCCAAAAACCTGGGAGGTCATAGAGTTTGTTTTTACAGCCACTGAAATTTAGGTAATTTGTTATATATGCAGCAGTAACTAAGTAATAAGACCACTTTTTATTGTGAAAGTAAAAGATAGGTTATTATCTGCCAAATGGATTAAATAAGGTTTTATGATCCTTGTTCCTAACTAAAGATATTTTTAATATTTTTTTAAAGATTTTATTTATTTATTTGAGAGAGAGAGAATGAGAGATAGAGAGCACGAGAGGGAAGAGGGTCAGAGGGAGAAGCAGACTCCCCGCCGAGCAGGGAGCCCGATGTGGGACTCGATCCCGGGACTCCAGGATCATGACCTGAGCCGAAGGCAGTCGCTTAACCAACTGAGCCACCCAGGCACCCGATATTTTTAATATTTTATAACTTTCCTCCAAAAGGAAAACAAAGCAGGATTAGGTCTAGACAAGCTGGGCTCTGGGTTCAAACCAACCGCTCTGCTGGGCTGGGCTTTTCTTTGAAACTCACTTTCCTCAAACATAAAAGGCTGGCAACACACAGCCTTGCTGGTGGCCCCAGCAGCAAGAGAACATGTAGAGCCTGGAGAACCAACTGTAAGCTTTCAACAAACGGAAGTTACTAACATTTCAACCTGAACAAGTTTATTTCCCAAGTCTCTAAAAATTAACAGACTACACCAAAGAGGGAGATTGAATTCATAAAACACAGCAGAATTTCTTTTTTTTTAAGATTTTTAAAAGATTTTGTTTATTTGAGAGAGAGCATACAAGCAGGGGAGAGGGGCAGAGGAGAGGGGCAGAGGGAAAGGGAGAAGCAGACTCCCCACTGAGCAGGGAGCTCAATGAAGGGCTCGATCCAGGACCTGGGATCATGACCTGAGCCAAAGGCAGATGCTTAACCAACTGAGCTACCCATGCACCCCCACAGTAGAATTTCTTAAAATCCTATTTTCTCATGCCTTTTTCTCCCTTAACATTGGACAGATGGGCCCAATACCCCCCAAACTGTCCTCTCTTCCCCAATGTGCAAGATTCACCTCAAATCCACACCGCTAGCTTTGATCTTCTCTCCAACCCCGTCAAAGCCCCCTGTCTCACTACCAGCAGTCCCGCTCCTTCCGTGAGTCCAAAACCAAAGTCGTTTGTTCTCGGTCCCCCACACAGACCATGGGCCCAGATTCTGCACAAACGAGGCTCAGAAAAGAGTTAGGAACACAAGAATTCTCCTTAATGAGGAGTAAGGTGGGAATGATCTAATCAGCACTTGACTAGATAATGGACCTAAAAGGTTAAGACATGCCAAAGGGTTTCCGGATTCCTTGACAGTGTTTGCTGTTCAGGGTTACTAAAAACGGCACCATTTTCACCTTTTACGTGTCCTTTCTCCAGTCACCAGGTATCAGCAAATCCAATATAACTTAAAAAAAACAAACAAACAGGTGCTTTGAGAAATGGCCTGTCAGGGAACGCCTGGGTGGCTCAGTCGGTGAAGCGTCTGCCTTCTGCTCGGGTCATGATCCCAGAGCCTGCTTCTCTCTCTGCCCCTGCCACTCCCCCTGCTTGTGCTCACACATTCTCTCTCTCTCTGACAAATAAATAAATAAAATCTTAAAAAAAGAGAGAGAGAGAGAAATGGCCTGGCAGGGCTTGCTAAACACTAAAAGAAAAAACTGAATTCATGTGAGTAAATTATAAATCTGGTATGGGTAGCTGAATCTTATCTACGTAAAGCTTAATCTTGCCATTACGGGGCGCCTGGGTGGCTCAGTCAGTTAAGCGTCTGCCTTCAGCTCAGGTCAGGATCTCCGGGTCTTGGGATCGAGTCCTGCGTCGGGCTCCCTGTTCAGGGGAGAGTCTGCTTCTCCCTCTCCCTGCCACTCCACCTGCTCCTGATCTCTCTCTCTGTCAAATACATAAAATCCTTAAAAAAATATAAATAAATGAAATAAAGTTTAATCTGCCATTGCCTAGAGCTTAGAAAAATAGTAAATCCCTGTCCAAGTTGATCTTTAGATTCTGGCAGAGTCCCTGGAGCTGCCTTAAGTCCTCTCTGCAGGAGGCAGGTATAAATGAGGTCGGATTTTCCTTGCTAAATCTTTAGGATTGAGCAATGCAGGTCTGGGTGGGTATTAGAATTCTACTTGGCCCACCTGTTCCAGGTGAGGTCCAAGGTCACAGCAACACCCCTGTCGCAGAGTTTGACTCAGTCGCTGGCCCAGGCGACACCCCTGGGGCACGTTTACCTTTTCAAAAGACCGCAGGGGCGCCTCGCTGGCTCAGTCGGTAGTGCAAGCGATTTGATCTCAGGTCAGTTCAAGCCCCAGGTGGGCGTGGAGCCTACTTTAAAAATAATAATAATAAAAAAAAGATAAAAAGACCCTAGACTCCGGAGCACCTACTTCACAGTAAACACCAGAGGTCACCGAGCGCAGCAATCTCGCACCTGCTCCCTGCTCCTGGCCCGCCCC